GAGGCAGAGGCAGAGGCAGAGGCAGAGGCAGAGGCAGAGGCAGAGGCAGAGGCAGAGGCAGAGGCAGGTGATCCCTGTGAGTTCCAGATCAGCCTGGTCTATAGCATAATTAGTTCCAGTATAACCAAAGCTACATAGTGAAACCTATATCTAAAACAAACAAAACAAAACAAAAAACCCCAAACCAAAAAACTATGAATTTATACAAAGGCATTTAAAACATCCCTTCACCACCAATGAACAGGGGTGTATGAACATACTTACCTATATGGGCAAGGATTTACCTAGGATAGGTCCTGAAAGAGAAATGGTCGCGTTAAAGGTAAGTTGACTATTTTTTTTTTCACTTCACTAATTCCTCCTTTTTACACCTGTCAGGACACCACCAGCGGGAGTCACTGGCTTTCAGAGCCTTGAGTGGCTCTCAGTTGAGTGGCAGACAGAATCAGGGACAATTCTTTGGGATCTTTAGGAGAACCAGTTGTGTCTGCTCTGCATTCTGATAGGGATAACGTGACTAGAAGAGAGAGGCGTGAGAGATTCTGAGAAAGCAGTTCACGGGCCCCAGAAACTCAGGGCACGCAGTAAGAGAAAGAACTTCGTGTGATACACCTTGGGGTGCCTCTGCCAGACTCTTGAAGGTGAGAGTCAGGACAAGGAAGGGGGTATGAAGTCTTCGTTGTCCTGGACACCCTCATACTGGTGACAGGAGGACCTTCATAGCTTTTCAAGGGCAGGGTACAAGGGTTTGCCCATCACCACAGTCCCTACCTCACCTGGTGTCATTTCTACCCCTCTGGTGGATAAAAGTGTCTCATGCTGTTATTTCAACCTGCATGTATTCTCCAGTGATGAACACAAGCAAACGGCTTCCCCTCAGGACCTTCAGTTCCCCTTGTGACTTCAGCCTCTTACCCTCCACCTAACTGATTTTACAATCACCATAGTGACCTTGCTGGGTTTTGGAAAACTTCAAGGTCAGCCTGCCTCTGGCCCTTTGTGCTTGCCTTTCCTCTGCCTGACATACTCTCCCCTAATTACACTCCCTCTCTCATGACCTCTCAATAAAGTCTCCCCACTTCCCTGCTGATCACATACATCCTACCCCCACAATCTGCTGGCTAATTATTAGACACCAAGTATTTTTAACATTCTTCTCCTACTATCATATTAAGGTCCAAAAAATCTGAACTCCCCGTGAGAAGGGCAAGTTTAATCTGTTTTGTTTTTTTACCGGTTGCCATCTTTTGCATCTTAGACAGTGCCTGGTACACAGTCTGCTTCCGCAAACAGTTGTTCAGTGTTTCAACAGATGCAGAAAGTCACCCAAAGCAGCGTCTCCCTCTGTTAGCAGGCTGCTTCTACCCCTTGCCTGGTGTAGCATGCAGGCAAGCGTTTTTCCTGTATTTGTGATTATTATACCCTAGTCGGCTCTAGCCACTGGATGTACTGTCTACAACCTGTCACCTCCCAGCACATTAACTTTGCACAGGACAAGTCCTCTGCAAGAGAGAAAAACACTTAATTCTGATCTTACAAGTTCAGTCACGCCATGCCTCATGCACAGTCCCTGGTGTTTTGCTAAAGGCACCTCCTGATTCTTATACCCAAAAGGATCCTCTGACGTTTTTTTCTAACATTTTAATTTTTTTTCCACACTCCGACCTTTAAGCTAGCAGATGTGGTGATCAATCTACTTTATTTTCCTTAAAGACTGAGCTAGCTCCCCCAGTACAGCACGTGGAACAGTTCACGCTTTCTCCCTTCATCTGGGGACTCCTTACTGCATGCATCCGAGTGTGCTAGTCCATCTGCTTGGGCTAGTTACCCTTCTGACAATACCCATATGTGTCAAAATACCAGGGCTTTACAGTGAGTTGGGGTGAAGATGGGCAGATTTTTGTTTTACTTTAAAGAAAAAGTGTAACTTTGGTCACCACTGGTCATTATTTTTATTGTAAATTTGAGGTGAAATGCTTGAGCCTCCCAAAATTCCCACTGGAATTTGAACAGAATTACACTAAATGCGTGAATACATTGGGGAATAATGAGTCCTTATAACAATGATGTCATCCCATGGGAGAGAGATTACATCTTTATGGTTAGAGTTCTAACATACAGAGAAGTTGTGTGCAGTCTTAATTTAAGAGAAAATGCCTCAGAGCCAGGGCTTGGTGGCACACGCCTTTAATCCCAGCACTCAGGAGGCAGAGGCAGGTGGATCTCTGTGAGTTTGAAGCCAGCCTGGTCTACACAATGAGTTCCAAGCCAGCCAAGGCTACATATTGAAACTATGTCCTCCACTATCACCACCAAAAATAAATAAATAAAGAGAGAGAGAAAGAAAGAAAGAAAGAAAGGAAGGAAGGAAGGAAGGAAGGAAGGAAGGAAAGAAGAAAGAAAGAAAGAAAGAAAGAAAGAAAGAAAGAAAGAAAGAAA